TGTTGCTAGTCAGCACAGGCTAACTGCGGGAGCAAAGGCCCCTTCCCTCAGCGGCTGCACCCAACCAAGGTTTGCTTCTCACTCATTCCACTCTTGACTGTGGTCAGCAGGGGGCGCTGTGCTCCACAGTCATTCGGGAGCCCGGAGTCCTCCCCAGGGCCTTTGCCTGTCACCAACCAATGAGCAGGCCGAGCCAGAATACTAGAACCCGTTCCCTGGGCCAGAACTCCGTCACCGGGCCCGCAGTGATGTATGGGGGCTTGGGAAGCAGTCCAGCCTGCGCCCAGGGAGAGGAAGGTGGGCACAGCCTCCGGGCTCATTTTTAAGGACTTCTGTGGGAAGACCTGGCAGGAGGAGGTGCCAGGAGTCGGAAAACATTGGTTCTGGCCCCGACTCCACCGATCGCCATTGTGTGTCCGGCCAGTCACAGCCCCTTTGGCCCCTGTTCCTCATCAGCAGGGCGGGGACCCAGCCACCTGACGCACCTGTGCCTCTCCCAGCTCACCATGCCCACGGGATGCACGTCATTTCATTCTTCTAATAATCACGGTGTTCTAGTCCGTCTACATCGATGAGCTTGTGCTTTTGTTCAAAATGGCAACCATAACGATCACAGTGATTGGGAGAGAACTACAACCTATTTCCCGCGCACTCGGCGTCTGTGACACACCACGTGTGCATACTCCGGGGGGGGAGAGGCGCCCATGGGTGACGGGCAGCAATTAATTAAATTGGGGAGAGCACAGGCATCAATGTCACCACGCCCAGGGCCGGGTTTCAGTTATAAACCTGATCATCGACACGCAGGTTACTTGCTGGGGTGCGACAATTTCTGTACAAAACGGCACTTCATTGGTTAGAGGGCCCCTGAGCACGTCAGGAGAGCCAGGCGAGAACCATCGAGAAAACACACCCAGAGCAGCAGCGTTAACCACCGACTGAGGCTCCCCTCAGCCCAGCGATGGCGTGTGTGACACCATCGTCACCACTGGGGTCTTGCAAGGACTGCACCGCGGTTTGGGGAGCAGGGGCACGGTGTGGGCAGGCAGGTGAGACACCTGGGCTGGTTAAGATGTCGTCCACCCCAAGGACAGATGGTGGGGAGACGGCACAGACTGTTTGATGTGATTCCCAGTTGAGAGAAAATAAATGCACCAGCCTCAAGGACCCGAGCCAGACCAGGGCTGGAAGACGCAAGCAGAACACAGCCAGGGACACCCCCTCACGTCCCTTCCCCCCTGACCCTCCATCCTCCAGAGAACACCATGTCGGG